CCATTTTTTCTTTGTAAATAAAAAGCTAAAAGATAGAGCACTGCTTGGGTTTACAATTTTACATGGCGGAAAATTGAAGAACAAAAACCAAACGAGAGTGCATGTGAGTGAAAGAGACTGAGAGGTGAATGCGTTGTTTAGGATTTCATCATATTTGATCAGATGTTGAAAAATCTTTAACTACAAGGATCAAACGAAGAAATTATTATATGCCATTTATACAAAATAATTCCAGATTTGTTGGTGACTTTCAACAATGATACTTAGTTTATCTTAGTAGTATTTATCAACTCTGTATTTCTAACTCCATTTTTTTCTCACAAGTATTTCATCGAACATCTACGCTTCACCTGAGATTACGTGTATCTAACATTACACCTTGAATCGTTGATGGTCCCGATAGTCCCTTGGTCGAGTCTTCTCTCAATGGACATTTATTCAAGTCAATACCTCCACATAATTTAAAGTTATATTAGAAGTTCCCATGCATCCCCGACTGAAAAGTTAGGCTGGAAATGAGAAGATAGGAGCGAAAAAGGAAATTCGAGATTGAAAAGAAATTTGGGGTTTTTAATGGAATTGAGGGATGTGTTGCAAGTTTTAAAAGTTAAGGGACTTTAATGTAAGCGCCTGAAAAGTTCAGTGACCATATTGTAAACGTACTAACGACAATGTAACAACAGGGACCATATTGTAAACGGACTAAATGCTAGAGTATTGTATTGCAAGTTTTAAAAGTTGGGGGACCTAAATGAAAGCTTTAGAAAAGTTTAGTGACCAATACTATACTTTACCCTAAAATTTATATTGTTCAAACCTAAATAATAAAAAGAGAATAAAAAATTAACCAATCGACCGCTTCAAGAATTCAATATATTGTATTTTTTATTAATATATTTGCTAATTTAAATATTATTTTGTATATTTTTTGTGTTATTTATGTTTAAAAATTAGGTAAATTATTCTGGTGATCTATTTTATTTTTGGTTTGTCTTATTTTAACTAATGATTTCGAAAGTTAAATTTAATATTTTTATTTGTCCTATTTTGTCGGCTGATTTTTTTAGATAATGCATTTTGTTTTTTAATTAGTAAAATAATTTACTCTCAGAATTATTTCTTCAAATGGGTGATTGCTACAATGCACACAAAAGACGCATTACACTCATGAGTCTCTCCCTTTCCCCCGAAGACGCATTGCACTCCATGCGTAATGCACTTCAAGCGTCTCTCCCTCCTCCGAAGACGCATTGCACTCCATGCGTCTACCCCCCTCCCGTGACACCGCCCTGCATGGCAGTCTGCATGCTCCATGCATGCAGCTTTTACAACTGCAATCAGGTTAGTTGGATTGGTTCCCATGCGTCTCTCCCCCGCCCGTGACACTGCCCTGCATGGCAGTCCGCATGTTGTATGCGTGCATCTTCTGCAGCTGCAATAAGAGCAACAATATGTTGCAATCAGGTTAGTTGGGTTGGTTGAGTAATAATGGGGTTGGGTTGAGACTTATATAGGGGAGTGTATGGGAGGGAGGAGTCACCAGGAGAAGAAAGAAAAATATGAGAATGAAGAAAGAAAGGGGGAAGAAGAAGAAAAGAAAAATGAACAAAGGAAGAAGAAAAAAAAGAAGAAGAAGAAAGGAAAAAAAAAAAAAATATAAAGTAAATTATATTTTATGTTTTAATCTCTTACTGAGTTTAGGTTAAATTAGTTTCGTTTATAATAATGTTTATATTAAATTGTTAATGTTATTAAAATTATTTTTTTTCTACAGATTCGCTGAAATGACATAACAAAATCAACTACTTCGCCTCGACGCTCAACATATTTCTAGCCATTTGGGAGTGATGATGTTATTACTATTTAATAAAATATTATTATTTGAGACAACATATTATTAGTAAATGGTAGAAGTTTATTTTATGATTAATCATGAATATTATAATTGTAGGAAGACAAACAGTGAGTTCTCCGTCATCGGATCAATATTCCTGATATGCCACACCCTTTGATTGAAGATCATCTAGAAGAGGTTGAATTTTTTTATGTTACATTTTTTGGGAGTATAAGTTGGTTCCGGTTTTGATAAGTGCATTGATTGAACGTTGGAGGCCAGAAACACATACATTTTGTTTTCCGTACAGAGAATGCACGATAACCCTAGAAGATGTGACCTTCCAACTCGAGGTTCCAACAAATGGGATGTCAGTGGTAATGAAAAATGATTACAATACCGTGAAAGCACTTTACAATGAGTTTCTTGGGCAGACGACAATAAACCCATATTTAAAAGGGTGGTGTTTGAGGCTATCGTGGTTGGAGGATCAATTTCAACTCCAAGAAAATAGTACCCAAGAAGAAATTGTATATGCAACTCGAGCATATATCTTGTAGTTGATTGGGGGAGTTTTGATGCCGGATAAATCCGGTAATGTGGTTCACACGTAGTATCTCCCATTTTTGTGAAATTTTGAGGATACTTGTCAGTACAGTTGAAGATCTGTGATATTGGTGTTCTTGTACCGTACTGATGAAGATCTGTGAAATCGGTGGATGTCTGATGTTGCTACAATCTTGGGTTTGGCACAGATTTCCATTTTTAACACCGATTAGTCGAACATCGATTGACTTTCCTCTCACCAGAAGGTAATATTCCTTTTCTCTATTTTAATTTAAATTATTAATTAGAATTTATTTACTGTGATTAAAAAGAAGTAACAATTTTTTTTTGATTTACAGATGGAGGCAAAAAATAGAAATGGCAGGCTAATGCATAATAATGTCAAGAGGGTTTTGGTTGAAGATCAACATTTATAGCAAAAATAATGTATATTTTATAATACTATATAATTAAATTTATTTGGATTTATTTAAATTAAGTTATTTATTTATATTTATTTCTTTATTTGTAATTTTATAAGTTGCCTAATGAATTAATTTTTGGATGTAATTTATAATATAATATAAAATAATATTTATTGATTTATTTATAATTTTATAATTTCACGTCTAATTAATTTTTATAAATGTTAATTTTACAGTTTAATTGGAGGACGTACATGGAGGTAAAAGTTTTAGCGTGTGTGCCGCCAGAGTTTTTGGAGGGTTATCAAAATTGGGGTACTATTACACTATTAATTAATTTTGGTATTATTGAGATACTGTTTGCGGATCGAGTGTAGAGGCAGTTCGGGTGCCACAAACCTATTCCGCCCATTCCATGAGATCATTACCCCTTGCACATATTAGATGGACGGGGTAAGCACAACGTGAATTGGGTTACGAACCACGCAGACTATATTAATGATTGGAACAACATAGCTTCATACGTGCCACCTCTTGATCCAATGCAAGAGGATGAATTTAATTTTGAGAATTCGGCTTACCTTTAGTATTATTGGGATCATGGAAAGCTGTACCTGACGACGTTAGGAGAAAGGCAACATTTTAAAAAAATATATAAGAAAAGATTTGGTACATCAGATAATTTTATACTGAGTAGAAGTGGGAGCTAATCTCAACAACATGAAGCGGAAGCAGCACAACAATTTGATGATTCTTCTGTTTCGACATACATGCCGAAGTTGATGCAGCCTCAATCGACGTATAACTTTGAACAAATGACATCTATGATGTCAAATACGACTGTTTGTCAGTTTACGTTTCCAGTAGGGATGGAAAAGTAAAGTGGTGGAATGGGATAGCATAGCTGTGGCATATATTTACAACACTAACTGATATGCCCCTAATGAATGAGGAGGATGAGTATCATACTCCTAAGCAAGCGCAAAGGCCATAACACATTAGACGTCTGCCTCGCATTATCATTCCACAACACCCCGGCATCGACAAGAATTATAAACTCAATTATTATTTGTATAAAAATTAATAATATATAAAATGTTATTATATGTTAAAATTAAATATTTAAATTATATGAGTATTTTATTTTGTTAACATAAGTAAATATTATTTTGAGTTTAGGGAGTAAAGAGTATCGGTACTACTTTAATGACACTACAGCAAAACAGAGTTTTAGCGGTGCTTTTTTAGTCTTATAGCGGCGTTTTTAAGCGCCGCTAAAAGTATTTGCGGCGATAGGAAAAACGCCGCAAGAAGCGCCGGCAATACCAGCGCCGCTAAAGTTAGCGGCGTTTGAGAACAAAAAACGCCGCAATAGGTCAATATCTATTACGGCATTTTTTAAACAAACGCCGCAAAAGGTTGATATCTATAGCGGCATTTTTGGAATAAACGCCGCAAAAAGTTATGATATATAGCGGCGTTTCTAGAAAAAAACGCTGCAAAATGTCAGACCTATAGCGGCGTTTTTGCACACAAACGCCGCAAAAGGTCAGATATATAGTGGCGTTTTTTGATACAAACGCCGCAAAAGGTCAGATCTATAGCGGCGTTTTTGGACACAAACGCCGTAAAAGGTCGGATATATAGCGGCGTTTTTTGATACAAACGCCGCTAATTACCATTCTTTAGCTAAGATTAATTGATATTTTGCATATTTAATTTTGTATACATCACCTAAATTCAATATCATGTAATTTTATATAAATTTTAACAACAAAATAAATTAAAATTTATAAACATTAAAATTAAATGTAATATAGCTTTGATGTTCATTACATCGAAAATATTGAGTTCAAGTCCACATATGGAAAGAAAAATAAATTAGTATGCATATAATATAAGCTACAAATGCCATTTGGCTGGATTCCTGGCCTAAAAGCTATTCCAAATTTTCTTGGAGATTCAACTTCTGCAACTCCTCCCATTTTTCTTTGTCTGCAACCATTTTCAAGGCCATTTTCCGCACTGTTCCTGTGACAAGAAATGCTGCTTTAAGATTGGCACAGCCTTCATAGCAAGCTCTACTTTACAAGAAAGGAAACCATCTACATCGATATCATTTATAAGAATTAGATCAATATTCAAATACAGTATAAGATGAAACAAATAACTTGTCTCCATAATTGTTCATTTTAAACAGCATCAACCAGATCACCTTCACCAAAAGTAATATGTGGAAGTTAATAAAATTTTTAAACTAACATAAAAAAGGAATATATGATTGTACCAAGCAGAAAAAAAAACGTGGAAGCCAAGGACCTGCTAGTCTAGTACCACAATAGTGTTACTCCAACTCATTATACGACAAAATTACACCCAAAATCTCCATACTACTGCATTCACACTTTTGCAGAGAGAATTTAAAACAACCTCCGGGTTAAGATTATTTTCTTATTTTGACATACTGCCTGACCTAGTACCTCTTGGTAAGCCGGCCCTATTGCTAACTGCTAAAAGAGCTTGATAGTACTTAGTTGCCAATGGTCTAATCCAGATAAATTGCTCATCAAATGAACAATTAGAATATACAGGAACTAAATTCTAATAAAACCCCAAATGCCACACCCATGTTTTAATAATAGTAACCAGTTTAAACAAGGAAAAAATGCTAATAGGCATTTGGTAAAATTAATATCATAGAGGACGTTGATCAATATCATACCATCGCCAGAAGAGAAAGCCTTGCATGACTTTTGCATGATAGTCTCCGACTGAATGCTAGAGATGACATCCCTGCACATAAGAAAAGCTGTCAGGGGAAAGAAGTGCCAAGGAGCGGTAAACTGATCTAAAGAACAAAAAAAGCACGGGCATTGGAATTTCCTTTCTAATTTCCCTGCCTAATATAGTTTCTGGATAAACAAAAATGAGGTGGACTAATTAACACTGAAATGGACCTTCTGGTAATGATAGATATGCTAATCACCCTACATAAATCATATCACTCTTGCAGTTCACTCATATCCTCACCGTGATAAGAAATGACAAACAAGTGACAGTACAATTCCAAAAATTGATGTGGGTTACAAAAGTTCACTACCAACTAACCTTGTCTTTGTCAAGCCAGCAGAAGAGCCTGAAATAATGAAGAAATAATTTCAATTAATAACAACGACAATCAATAGAATTTTACCAAAATGAGAACAAAACAAAGCCAACGATTTACCTGGTAGAACAAGATGAGAGAAGTTGCGGACATGGACAATTCCCCTCGGCTGAAGAAACATAATCTGTTCAAACACTTAAATTTAATTCTCGTGAGAATGGTTACCAATGTATGATAAAAATCCAAACATCTTCTACATAAATTAAAGGTTTAATAGCAACAAATAACAACATCAATAAAAATTCAAGAGAAACCGAACCACTAGCATGGTTATCGAATCATATTCAATTTCAACTGAACTATTTACCTCTTTTCCAACATTTGAAGACACTCTAGATGCTGAAACGCTCGGCCGAATCACCTGCAAGGACTTCCCTAATACATGTAAAAGAAATGGAAAAAAACAATTCAATAAAATCCAAGTGCTTTATCCTTTAGCTGAACAAACCACAATTAAAATAAAAAGAGGTTAACAGTTTTAACCGAAGCTGATGAACCTCCGGTCGTAACTTTTCTCCATAAAGCGCCCAACATCACCGCTATCCAGAAGCTAAACGCAAAACTCAATAATCTAAAGGAGAAATCAAATAATAATTTATAACATAATAGATAGTCAGATAAAACTGCGTGGATCTGAATCTAAACATTGAATACAAATGAAAAGGGCAATAATGAGAGGCGAAGAAAAATTATATGGAAGAGAGGTTTAACTTAAACCTGATTTCTGCAGATAAATATGAGAGTCCTCGAATACACTGTGATTTGCTAAAGAAAAAAGAAAATATCTAACAAGTTTTTTTTTTGGTTTCTTTCTTCGACAGTGAGGGAGAGAAACAGTGAATATCATGCCAAATACCTCGCGATTAACAACAAAAATGGGGCAATGTTTTTCGATAACGTCATGCCAAACAGTTCTAGACTGAAGACTTGCATTTGCAACCTTTTTGTAGTGAGAATTTGTTTGAACGAAGCGTTGAGAAGAAGAGCCCCCCATTGGAGAAGAAGCAGCAGATGGGTTTTAGTAAACGGCGGGAATGAAAAAATAGGTGAAGGGAAAAAAATGAAAAAGGGTTAAAGGGGTCTTAAAACTATAAATTTGTGATACAAACGCCACTAAAGTACGAGTCTTTTGCGGCATTTTTATAAAAACGCCACTAAAGTACAAGTCTATAGCGACGTTTGTAAACAAAAACGCCACTAAAGTACAAGTCTATAGCGGCGTTTGTAAACAAAAACGCCACTAAAGTATGAGTTATAGCAGTGTTTTTATAAAAATGCCACTAAAGTATGAGTTATAGCAGCGCTTTTATAAAAACGCCACTAAAGTATGAGTCTTTAGCGGCGTTTGTATAAAAACGCCACTAAAGAACGATTCTATACCGGCGTTTGTGTAAAACGCCACTAAAATACTAATCTTTAGCAGCGTTGTATACAAATGCCACTAAAGTAAGATCTTTTGCGGCGTTTGTATACAAACGCCAAAGTTAGGTTTTTTTACGGCGTTTGTTCAAAAAACGCCGCTAAAATGCCGCTATAAACCCATTTTGCTGTAGTGTGGTATCGATACTACCTTTTGTAATATTTAAATAAACTAGCCGTGGAGACCATTGGGCTTGTACAATATCGATACTATGCTTCATGGTATCGTACCACTGTGTAAAGTAGTATCGGTACCTATTTTGCATTCTGGAATTGAGCAATTTGGAAAACAACTGGTAGTATCGATACTACCTGAGAATATTAATATTTCTCTTACCTTTGGTATCGATACCTCGTGAACAATATCGATACGTAAGAACATATCGATACTACGTACCAGAAAACTGTTTTGTGTTCAAATTCTAGTTTAATAGACTTTGAATTAATTTTGAAAACTTTGAACAAATTCAATCAAGTCCAAAAGCATTTTGCCTTAATTACTAGTTAATTTATACAAAAAATACATATATTATTATAAATAAAGTTAGATCCTAGTTAATTACTAGTACTATACATAAATTATTATAAAATCAAGTTAATTAAGTTAATATTATAAAATCAAATATATTAATACATGTAAGCATTATTTTACGAATTAAAAAAAACCAAATGTATTATCTAAAAAAATCAACCCATGTAAGCATATTATAAAATCAAGTTAATTATTATAAAAATTCAAATATATACGTACATACAATTACATATATAATTACTGATGAGACCTATATCTTGGTAGATTTGGACATTTATTTTTTGAATGACTTTCACCCCTACATAATTCAAATCTCTTTGGTTGAGCTTTCTCTCTAGCATAGAAATCCATATTAGTATGAATATGACTGGACTCAGGTCGACCCTTTGGATTTTTACGAAAATTGGATTTTGGCATCCATTCGTCATGATCCCTTTTCGGTCAATATGATTCATTTTGGATCTGTCTAAATGCATAGATGTACACATTTAATACCTATGTAGTGAAAGCACTCATCAACATAACTATATGCGCTCACACCAACATACATACATGCAGCGACTGCATGAGCACATGGATATCTCTATGTCTGAAAGCGACCACAATCACACCATTTGTGTCGTAAATCAATTCTAAATGTTTGACATTCTCTTAATTCGTTACGGCGTATGCATGACACAACAAAAGTATGACCAACTCGGTCGAAATTATGAACAAGCATTGAAGTTGTCAATCGCTCGTTTGCTTCCATTGCTTGGACCACTGTAAGAGCCCAAGTTTGACCTCTATTTATGAGACACTCAATCTCCTTACATTTATCGGACCAAACCTTAGCCAACCTAAAATAGTCTCATTCACACACTCGCTATTGGGAGATGATGTGTACCTTTTAGTAATGAATAATCGCCTCAACAAGGTTTGTGGCAGGGATGGGCATGGGACCTGAACCCGACGGGTTCTGACCCGACCCGATCGGGTTGGGTTTTTAAAAATATTTCAGGGTCGGGTCGGGGTTTTTAAGTGTGATGTTCGGGTCGAGTTCGGGTTTAGGGTGAAAAATACCCGACCCAACCCAAAAAATATATAATTTCATCTTATATATTTAGGAATAATTATAATAATACCCCCTATATATAATTTTTTTTCAATTAAGTCATTGTTTTTATTAAATAAAATAATATTTTATTATTATTTCGGGTCGGGTCAGGTCTCGGGTGGAGGATCCTTTGTTCTCGGGTCGGTCGGGTAAACCAAAAACCCGACCCGACCCATGCCCATCCCTAGTTTATGGTCATATGTCCGTATCGTCGACCCTCATCGTATGCTTACGACCATTGTTCTCGCGGTATTTTCGAAGCCCACCTCCAAACATGCTAATCATCATAAAATACCTTCAAATTCTCCAACCTCTGTCAAAATTTGGTCGGCTTAGTTCGTATCATGTTTCATAATATATATATTGTGTTAAAAATCAACTAAAAACCACATAATCAATACATACATGTCGAAAATAAAACTTACCCATGCTACTATCTTACTACGGATGCGGTGTGTTATGAAACTGATCGATACTATTCTTACCAATATGGTGTATAAAAAATGTGGGATATGCATGTGGAGGTATCCAACGAATTCTCAATCATTCAATTGCCACCAAAATGCCTATTCCTCGATCGGATATCAAGCAAACTCCATCTTCTTTAATGACATATTGACGTAGATTGGTCAAAAAGAAATCTCATGCCTCTGTTGTCTCTCCTTCAACAATGACGAATACAATTGGGAAGATATTTCGTTCACCATCTTGTGCAAATACCATCAACAATACTTGTTTATATTGACCATACAACCATGTACCATCTACTTAAATGCCATCAACAATATATGTTTATATTGACCATACAACCACGTACCATCTACTTGGACCATACGTATGCAAAATAAAAATCCTTCTATGCATGACTTCAATGCCCCAAATAGTTTATGAAATATTTTCTTCCCTGCAACAAGTTGACCTTCTTCTGCATATGCAAGCAAGGTTTGAGACTTCACTATGGTTCCCGAGATGAATCACTTCATTACTTGTAACAAATATGGTAGTTCATTGTACGATGTATCCCAATCTCCATATGTCCGCTTCATTGCCTTCATTTTCACATTTCAAACCTTGCCGTATTTTACACGGTATCCAAATTGGCTTCGAATAGATGCAACTAACACTGAACAAGAGATCATTGGATTCTTTTCAACCAACATCTTCAAGTATTCACATATCACATCGGAGTCTAATAGTTGGTGGTCTTGTTCTATTGAGTTTCACAAACATGTGTGAGGACCATTGTATCTTGTGATGACCCAAGAATCGTGCCTCTAAATTTTGGACACTCCGATCTTCCACTTGCACTCTGGGCCATATTTAACACACTTCACATATATGGGTTTTTGGTTGGACTCTGCAACATGGACATCAACATGACCTTTAATGCAATACTCTTTAATCGCTAGCGTAGCTTCATCTTTTCCTTTAAATTGCATCCCAATTGAAAATTCACCAAAATTTTCGAATGATTCAACCATGTGTGTTGAAAACATTTTGATATTTCGATATAACAAATTAAGTTAAATGAATTTTAAGATTTTCCAAAATGATTTTCTAAGTATATTCGATATAATTATTCGAATATCAAAACATTACTCAAAATATTTCAAAAATCATTTTTAATCCTTACTTAAGTGTAAAATTAAGTTTTAATCTTAAAACAATTTCAAAATAATCTTTCAAAGTATTTCGAACCATTTCAAAGCCAAAAATTCTAGATTGCTCAGAGGGAACCGATTCCCCCCCAAAGGGGTACCGATTACCCCCTGAATGGTTTGGCTCCGAGATTTCCAGAATGCTCGGAGGGAATCGATTCCCCCATAGGGGGTACCGATTACCCCTGTTCAACGGTCGAAATATTTGAATTTTACACTTAGGGAACCGATTCCCCATAGGGGGTACCGATTCCCCCCACGCTCCAAACTGTTTTATTAATTATTTTCACACTAAACGGCTATCTGATCTTCACTAATCATCCCCAACATTCAGAAGAGGTGTATTTAAAAAGTTCTGAAGCCCTTGATCAACAAGAAATCATAGAGAAGACAAGAGAGAAAGCATCAAACACCAAGTTGTGCAAATCAAGCCAATTTCCTTTCAATATTCATTTTGCTTTCAAGAACACCATTTGTGCTCATTTGTAATTATCTTTCAGTGTTCTTTTCTTATTCTAGAATTGTGCAAACATCTTACCTTGTGAGGTTTTCTTGTAAGTTTGCAAATTTGTAATCTTCTCTTTGGGAAAAAAGTGTTCTCAAGAGTTGGGGTATACTCTTGAGGGATTTTGTAAGGTTATCTTTGGCCTCAAAAGAAAGAACAAATTAGTGAATTT